GTATGTCATCTCATCCACGATAGGTTTGGAAGAGCGGGCTGCGCCCCTCACTGTGTCTAGTGCGCATGGCAGTCCATGGTGATGCGGCACACAGATGATCAGTGCCCTCTGCTGCATTTTACACACATCTCTCCCACTGCTGGGGATGCAGATGCAAACACCACCAACCAAGTCGCCTTGTAGCCCCCCCCCCCCACCCCCCGCCCAGCCCAGCCTGAACCCGGCGGGTCAGGTCAAGCCTGATCAGGCTTGGGTTGAATATCTGAGCTCGATGAAGAGATGCACATTTCCTTCTGTGCACTGATACAGTTGGGGTATGTGGAGAGAAAATACTTCCTACACGAAACTGCAAACGACAAGGTCTGTGGATTATCTTGAGTAACCAGGCCATGATTTCTGGAAAGAAACATTGCTATTTAGTATCTGAAATGTATTTTTTGGGGCTTTGAGCACCACAAGCTGAGTGTCATCTAGTTTTATTACATAAATAAGAAGGCGGACATCTCTACGACCGATGTCACCAACACTCTGCAACTCATACCAAACCACTACAGCATCAGAGGTAAGAGGAAAAATATGCTTTTGATTTTGGGGTGAACTGTCCCTTTAAATCCGATTTGCTCTAAGATGGTCAACATGCCTCCTGCTCTTCATCACTGTGACTCTGTGTTACTGAATGATACCTATACTGTCTTCCAGTGCTCCCATTAGCTCTCCAGCCCAGCAGGGGAAACTGAGACTCTGAAGCCAACACTTATCTCACATTAATAGATAATATTAATATCTCAGCCCTTTCAAAAAGAGAATTTATTTATTTATTTATTTATTATCTCACCTGTATCGGCTCAGTGGTGCCATTTCTCCTTTCCTTGGCCTATTTGACCCTATTTCCCCTTTCCCCTGGCTAAAGAGTCTCCTTTCCTCCAGCTCCACTCCTCCTCTCATCCCTCCATCACCTCCTCCTCCTCTCCTCATGTTAACCCCATTGCTCATCTGTTGTTTGTTTTCTCTCTCTTTCTCTCTTTGTTTTTTCTTTTCTTCCCATCTGTGTAGGCAGCCCGTTGAGTAACTTCTTTGACGTAATTAAACAGCTTTTTTCAGACGAGAAGAACATCCAAGCGTCCCACTCCCCTGGCGCCCCTGCCACGCCTAGCTCCCCTGCCAAGCATGCCCCCAGCAGCAAGCCCAACCAGCCCCCGCCCAATGACTCTAAATGCCCCCCCGGCAAAGACAAAACAAAGATGGCCGCCAGCAACAGGACACAAGAACAACCTTAAGGAGCGGTAGCTGTGCATGACTAGAGAAGAGCAGTTATCAGGTCATAAAACAGGAGAATGACAGAGGAGAGCTGCTAACTTTGCCCTTTAGTTAGGAGAAAAAAACAGAAAAAACAAATCTACTTTTTGCCTATAAATTTTGTACTGTATAATGGGAATGGCTATTTCAGTTTAAAAGTTGATCAGTATTTTACAATAAGTAGCAAATGTAGCTTTGTTGTCCCTACCTTCTGTCCCTCTCTGTCCTTGGGGGTCTTTCGGTGGGTGTGTGTCCTCCTCACATGTGTGATGGCTTGACTTGTCTCTGCCACCAGGGATCATCCATAATAACTATTAACCTCGTCGGCTCTCCGAGACCGGCCGACAGCGGCCCACCACCACCAAGAGAGTCTGAAGAAAAGACAGAGGACCCCTCCCCTTCCCTCCCCCACTTCACCCCCCCAACCCCTTCAATTCCTTTCTCCAGCCGCATCAGTAGAGTCCACTTTCCCCCACCAGACCAAACATAGAGACATCTCAGAAGAGTTGTAAAAAGAAAAAAAGCCTTAAGACAGTGATGTTTGTCAATCTACACACACACCCCTTCTTCTCTTTTCTCTTTCTTCCAATTCTCCCACATGTACATAAAAAACACACACACACACTGTATGTACTCCTCAACACAAACATGACTTCTTTGCGGGATGTAATGACTTGCACACGCTGACAAACAGGAAGCAAGGAGCGGTGGAAGAAGCGGGGAGATGGATGGATGGACGAACGCTGGCTGGATTGTAGTTCTTTTTAATGTTGTCTTTCTTTGTGAACAGCAGGATTTCTGAGCGTGCTCTGTGACGTTTCTGTATAATGGGTTCTTGCAATTAAATAGTCACCCATTAAAGTATGATGGGGGTTGATATTACATAAATGAATGATCTATTCTGTTGTACAGATTAAATAATGTTCCGTATGTACAAAAAGTGTAGTTGTGACTTTATGTTTTAGAGTTGTGTTGCCATATTTTGTTTTGTATTCCTGTGTAGGCCTGGTCACACCAGCATTTGAAACGGCTTATTTTCACAGTGAAATCAATTGATTTCAATGGAATCGCTGTGATAAGTGTATTAACCTGTAGGGGCAAAGTTCAAGTCACTGAATGATGATAAGCTATTTTGATAGACCTTTCAGGGAACAAAGAGCTATTGTAGCTTGTTGGTATTTAAAAGGGGTGTAAAAAACTAGTTTCATCATGATACAATATATCGATTCTTTGGACAACAATACGATATTTGCCAATATTACACAGTCTGCCACAATACGATTTTCAATTCAATTAGATTTTGGGACCTGTGATCAATATGAGATGAGATCATATGCCCATTAAACACAATGTGTCACAGAAGATGCAGCCACCCTTTCTTTCTTGCTTTTAGCCATAAAAGATAATAACACATAAATACTGTAAATATTTGTAAGCGCTGAAGTGCAGTAATGTTTACTTTAAAGTGACTACACTAACACATAAAACAGCACATGGGATAGGTAAACCTTCAGGGCTTTCTGCCAGAGAGACCTTTCTGGAAGTACTGTTTTCATTTTAACGCAAACCATCATCCTTTTCATAAAATTTTAAAAAATAATTAGATATGATTCTCATCAGTACAGTATAAGCACTTTTAAGTTGCGTAAATTAATCTGGCAGCTGACGAAGTTTTCCTTAATAAATTACATTTATTATTTACACTTTTCTTACTCACCGTTGGTTGAAGTTAGTGCGTCTCCCAACAGAACAGCATTGTTGGATTTCAGCCTGCATGCACGTTTTTTAGTCAAACATTGTTGAAACAGAGCAGCTAATATCACTTTGTTGCTGCGAGAAGTTAGCAAAGTGAAATGCTCATCCAGGCAGGTACATCGTGTTTTGTTTCATAACGACATTGTTTACATATGGCATGTTCTTCGTCTGTTGACGTGTATTTTCTCCGATATTGAAAATATTTCCACACTGCTGATTTATTCCCGAGTAAATAAGTAAATAACATTACCCTCACCGTCTTTCTCTGGGCTGCTTGCCATCTGCATGGTGCTGTTTGACGGTGACACAGAATTGCAAAATAAAGGTGTAACCTAAAGTTGGTGATATGTAACGATGTTTTTACTTTGCATCGATGATATTGGATCGTTGATCATTGAATCAGTATATCAGTCCAGATCAATGGATCATTACACCCCAAGTATTTAACCTCCTCTATTGGAGCACAAACTGCTCCACAACAGAGGACTTGTTTGTGCAGACAGTGTTGAGACAGGATAGAAAGAATACATATTTTAAAGGTTAGGGTTTGGGGAGGTTACAGTTAGCCTAACCCTAACTCTATAAAAAAAAAAAAAATACATCAGTGGAGTAAACAGCCCAGTACGAGACTATAGACACTCAGCGAAATTGTGACTGAATAACACCAACATGTTCCAGCCTGCTAGCTTGTAAGCAGTTATCTCACCAGCTTCTAGAACAATATACTTCACATATTGCTGTGCCTCTTCCTGGTGTGACCAGGCCTCAACAATAAAATGTCTCCTTTTCCTTTTGCACTTTTGACAAGTGAGTCAGATTCTGGGTTCAGTTACAAAATGTCAGCACATTTTTAATTTTCATTATTATTTTTACAATATTGAACTGCTGTGTATATTTTTGTACTTTATTGTATTTTGTCACTTGGGTTATTAATTTATTCTCAGTTATTTATATGAAAGATGTAGAGAATGTTTCTTAACGTCAAATTATTTAAGGATATTTTTGTTATGTTTAAGTTATTTGATCACTGAGAATCTCGAAAAACGTTTGTGAGCGTTCCTTTTCCCGGCTTTTTGATGAGAGAAACCTGTAATATACGTTTGGAAAATGATTTACCGTAATTTAAGAATGTAGACTTAGCCTCTCTGAGAGGAACAAACCCTTTGTTCATAATTGTCAGCTCTTTTTCCCCCTCCCCTGTGTGTATGATGACTCAGATCTCACCAAACACTCATTCTGTAAATAAGCCGAGTTTACTGACAAGCTTATTTAAAAAACCAAGGGGATTCCTACTCTTAGCTTTGACCTCGTATGGTTGTTTGCATGTTCAGCATTCGTCTTTTCTTTGCATGTCGTCGTTGGAATTGTTCTTGTTACCTTTTTCTCTCCACACTTATTTATGTATTTATGTTTTTTTATGTGTATTTGTTTTAATTTGCCTTTTTATTTTATTTATTTTCTTATTTCTTTCGCTGTCCTCTTGCCCTCTTCCTCCTTTTTGATTACTGTGTACAAACAGTAACCGTGCAATGCATCCTCCTTACTCATTCTCTCAAAGAGGGACCTCTCTGGCGATTGGGTCGCTCACCAGCTGGGTGGGTGTTGGGTTATCGGAGAGAAAAATTAAAGCAATACCTTTCATTGTTCGCTTTCCTCTTTTTCTACTGGGGGAATCCAGAGCACACAGAATGGACTCGGAGCACGGAGCGCTACTACTGAGCAGGATAACCACTGGCAATGTATTCCCTTGTGATGTTACTGTGAACAACTTCAGTGCTAAAGGAAATAAATCTGTTGACTTTGGAGCTGTGTGCTCATTTTTGGGGGGTTTTAAGACATTTATTTACAAAAAAATATGTACATATTTTACATATTCAGAGTTGATCATCTGCATGCAGCTGCGGAGGATTTACATTACAAATGTTTTCCCGTCATACCATTGCTTCAGTTGCTGCAGCAGCAGTGTCTATGTGGAGCTACACTGACATGCTGTCTGCAAAACTGCACATTTGAGTTAAAAAAAAAAAAAGTTATTTGAGGGTAGCTTTGCTCAGTTTCAGTTTCTGACTGTTCGCTAAACACATCACCCAAACACTGATAGTCACATCGTAACTTAGTAACCATAACTACGCACACTAAGTTTTGTATCTTTCCACATACTGAAGCAGTAGGCGTGGGACTGAAGTTTAAGAAGTTTGGCAGGTTGTGTCCTTTTTTTTAATCTTTTCAAAAGCAAAAATAGACAAAACTTTGAGGAACTGTTCATCTACTCTAACATAAATCAGCTAAATAGCTGACTACATACAGGAGTAATTTACTGTGCATTCCAATCCTCATACTACCATACTATATAGTATTCCAGAAGAAGATCTCGTGTCCCAATATCTAGTATGTCAGGTGCAGTATGGCAGAAATACCAGGATGTTCTACTACATTCGGTCCAATTTTGCAGTATGCAAGCCAGCATGCTTTTCGTGCTATTCTGACCCACAATCCACTGTGCAGTGGACGATACGTCACATAAACTGAGCTGCAAACAGACAACAGTCAATTAGTGATAAGCTCATTGATAGCTGTCAGAAGCTGCAATGATGGCTGACAGCACATTCAAGTAACTGATGACCAGTCAAATAGTAATAAAAAGAATATTAATTGTTTGAGTGAACAAAATGATTATTAATATTATAAACAACAGGACATAAATACAAAAATAACAATGACAGATAAGTGCAGGTGTAATTTCACTGTCGCAAATGTGTTAGAACCGACAATCTATGCAGTTATAGCTTTAATGTTAAACTACACACATTACATTGCAAAGTAACAACAGTAGAGCTCTCCGGGATGATCTCTGTCTCTTGCGAGCTTGGTAAGTGCAGTTTGTTTTATCTCCAAGGTAATGGATATGAAGGCAAGAGGGTCAATCTTCAGGGCATAATGTAACAAGAAAGTAGAATGTCCCGATTGTGTGCATACTGCATGCAACAGTATGTGCTTTTTAAGGGCAGCTGCAGTACATAATAAAAGTAAAAAGAAAAAAGTATAGGATTCGGAACTCACCCCTAATGTTACTATCAAGGCAAACAGTAACCTCGGGGGCTGAAAAATGAAGCCAATGTGCAAGTGCCAAAAACTGCAGTTCCTCTAATGGCCACTTGAGGCTGGCTCCAAAATAGGGTATATTGCCATAGACTTCCATGTTATAATGCCAAGCTTAAAAGCAGAAATAAACATGTTCACAGCCTGGTACAAATATATATAACTCACTTGTTTATATTTTATTAAGGCTTAAAGTTCTGCATAATTAAGGGTGGGTAGTCAACAGTGACAGGCCAATAGTGTCCTCGGCTTCTTAGTCAGATCCACCCCTTGCTCCTACAGCTCCACCCTCTCATCCAAATATGGTCACTTCTGGCTCCAAAATACCAAAATGGCGATGGCCACAATGCCAAACTATAGGCTTCAAAACAGGAGTCCACAAACCAATGCTTGACATCACGGTAGCTACGTCCATTATTGTTACACGCAATGTTCCAAGGCCAAGAGCTAACTAGTTTTTACATCATTCTGTTTGAGCTGTATTAGAAAAAAGTCCCATAGAGGACTGGACCATCACTGTATGGAAGACGGTTCCGGATTCAATTACATCATAGTTTAACAGCTCCGTCTTGTTCTTTATGGATTTTAATTTACATGCCTGCAACCCTACCAGCCAGAGACATTGTATTCACTAGGCTGATCTTAAGTAAAGTAACTGGTAAGTCCTTGTACTCAAAAAGTTTTTCATTTGTTAAAGTGAAACTTTCGTAAAAGCAAGTAAAAATCTAACCTGTGTTAATTTAAAAGGTATACATGCTCTGCCAGCCCCTTCATGTTTGATAAAACACAAAAAAAAAGGTTTTCCCACATTATATTGACTGATTTAGTAGTTACAGTTAAATTATAGATTGTATAAATTGTATCTCCCTACATGATGATCTATACCTGGAACTTCTGCTGGACAACCACTGAATGCCTTTATTCATATGTTAGTTTTTGCTGTTGTGATATTAGGGGGTGTGGTTCTCCAGATATTAAGTTAGTGGGACTCTGATCTGTACAGGTTATACATATATGATATGCAATTAACATACATTTTAACTTTAGTAAGAATTATGTGTAAATATTCTCTAAACAACTGGTTTGAGGTAATGCCTGCCTTTTTATATACTTGTCTCTAGACTGGTCCTGTCACAAGTGAAACCTCAAAAACCTGATTAATAAAAAACTGATAAACGACAAATTAAATAATAATTTTATAATTTATACTATCACATTTTTCTAGAGCTTATGTGATGTGTTCAAGTTGCTTAATGTGACCAACAAACACTCAAAGAAACCAAAAACACATTTGATTTACAGCAACAGGGAACAGAAATTTCTCAAATTTTAAAATGCAAGCACAAGTCTGTTCATTTTACCTGATACATGAGTTAATCAGTAACATTCTACATAATCAATTTGGATTGTCTCTTCCAAGTTATAGAAATGTTCACTTGTGTCAAGATAAATAACTAGAATGAAGAACTTGTTAAAACAGTCTACTCTTCTTCTACACTAAGGTGTTCTCCCTAAGAAGACTACAGAAATTAAAAACACAGTATATGGCTACTTTTCCTTTAACACACATACCAGTGTGGCTGAACACAACCCAGGGTATTAGAGGCTGCTGCATTGTTTCTACTCTCGACATGCAGAGTGCAGGGTGTAAAGTCTGTGGATTAAAGTGGCCTCCAAAACCTCCAGGAGAATCGGTAGATCCTGGTCCTGGGTGCCCACCTCTGGGCAGATCTGCTCCTGACCAATGGCGCCCAGCAGCAGGCGGTGGAAGTCCTCCCGGTCCAGGAGCCGGTCCATGTACTTTAGAAAGAATCCTTCACAAAACCTGCAGAGTTCAGCCGCTCCATGTTGCTGCAGATACAAACACACAATACAGTTTTGTCAAATTGAGCACATCTCTGTGATGAGCAGCAGACAGGCATTGATTTATAGGGGTAAAAATAAAACTTAACTAGAACCAGCCTTAAGATTTAACTGATATAAGGGTTATAAGGTTTTACTGTACAGGGCCTGTCTTGAGAACATAAAAATCAACTAAATTAAATGACTCATGGTGAGATTATTTACAGCAAGCAAAATTATGTGACTGGTGTTTTGTTTATCATGACCTTGAAATTCGTAAACTTTATAACAAAACTGAGTCATTCACATAAACCTGAGTGCTCATTCTGCATGCATTCAGTTTTCTTTGGGGTTAACAATAGTTCTGCAGTTTCTAGAAGCTAACTTCAAATCCAAATCACACATTGTCATTCCCAGATCAGTTTGATGTGTTGAGACCAGAGTCTTAAGTCTTACTGTAGGTGTACATGTAATAAACCAAAATCAAACCACAACAAGTTAAAGGTCTTTATCTAACATACATCACAAACTTTTATACAGTGTCATGCAAAAGTTTGGGCACCCCTGGTCAAAATGTCTTCTACTGTGAGTAGTTAAGTAAGTAGAAGCTGAACTGATCTCCAAAAGGCATGAAGTCTATCTAAACAAACCTGATGTTTTTAGAAACAAGTCCTATGGACTGATGAAGTTAAATAGAACTTTTTGGACAAAATGAGCAAAGGTTTGTTTGGAGAAAAAAGAGTGAAGAATTTCATCAAAAGAACATCTGTCCAGCTGTTAAACACGGAGGTGGATCGATCATGCTTTGGACTTGTGTTGCAGCCAGTGGCACAGGGAACATTTCACAGGTAGAGGGAAGAATGGATTCAGTTAAATTCCAGCAAATTCTAAAGCAAACATCACCATCTGTAAAAAAGCTGAAGATGAAGACAGGACGGCTTCTACAACAGGACAATGATCCTAAACACACCTCAAAATCCACAATGGACTACCTCAAGAGGCGCAGGTTGAAGGTTTTGCCATGGCCCTCACAGTCCCCCGACCTAAACATCATTAAAAATCTATTGATAGACCTCAAAGACCAGTGCATGAAGACGGACCAAGATCTAGAAGCCTTTTGCAGGAAGAATGGGTGAAAATCCCCCAAACCACAATTGAAAGACTTAGCTGGATCCAAAAAGCATTTAGAGGCTGTGATACTTGCCAAAGAGGGCGATACTAAGCACTGACCATGCAGGGTACCCAAACTTTTGCTTCGGGCCCTTTTCCTTTTTTTGTTACTTTGAAACTGTAAAGGGTTTAAATTAAAAAGTAATCTTTCTTAAAATATTGAAGAAATGTGTCATCTTTAACTTCATGCCTTTTGGAAATCAGGTCATCTTCTACTTATTCAATTACTCACAGTAAACAAAATTTTGACCAGGGGTGCCCAAATTTTTGCATGCTATTGTAAATCTTTATCTTGTGGGTAATTTACCTTTTTTTTTTCCATTAGAAAACTATGTTATAGTTGTTGACTTTAGTTGGCCGTGTTAAGTTAAAAGCACTTGTTAATTATGTTAAAGCCCCTACAAGGAACTTTCATTTTGAGTTGATTTTGGCGACCCTGTGGTCAAAAGCGGTAGTGTTTTGCTGGAATGAAGCCTACATTTCCCATGAGCTCTAGCGCGTATTGTCGTAAAGACGCTTACCTCCATGTGTTTGTTTTGGGGATGAATGAAACAACAAGACAGGAAAACTTTGCCTCCACTCCTATCGGCCCGGATGAGGTGTTCCAGCCCCGTGGCCCCTGCTCTCCTTGTCCCCGCTGGCGCGGGGTGAATCTGCGCAACCTGTGGCCTCTGTGTGTGGCTCCCCGGACAGCTAACGCCGTGGACCCGCCGGCTCCTGCCAGGATTGGGCTGGTAAATGTTAGATCGCTAGCGAACAAAACGTTTATCCTGAAGGATTTCCTGACTTCCCGAGGATTGGATTTTCTCTGTGTGACTGAGATGTGGCTGACTGTTGGTGAGTCCAGTGCTTTCACAGAACTTTTACCCGATGATTGCTGCTATTTTAACTCCTCGCGGATGTCGGGTCGAGGAGGAGGAATAGCGACTATTTATAAGAGTCACTATAAATGTAAGCAGCTAGGTAAGATGACATGTGCCGTCTGAGTGCCGTAAATCGTTTTGTCCTGGAAGCGACCTGGTGCGGACCCGGACACAGTTTCCTAAAGGTATGGATATACACTATACAGAAATAGCTTATCTTCACACCGATGGTCTCATTTGTTGGTGTAGGTCACGCACAGACAGCAGCAGAAACGAGAGACTTTTGCATATCCAGTTAAAAGTTCCTTGTAGCGGCTTTAAATTATCCTGGAAATTAGCTGCTGGAAATCAATGCTTCGTTTAAGTAAAGTAAAACCGTATTATATATAGGTGTACTAACTGTCTGCATTTTCCCTGTAATCAATACCAATTTACACAATCATTTCCAGGAGCCTCTTTTATAACCACTGTGTATACACAAAAAAACTGGCTTATAATGTGTGTACACCACTTTCTAAGCATAAATTAGGATTTATAAAGAAAAACTTTATGAGGAACTCTGACCCATGCATACGCACATTTTGGAGACAGGGGAAATCAACAGTACGGATGGTCAGGTGGTAAATTGAAGCCAGATTTAAATTCACCTCATATCAGGTTTCTAATAGATCCACTTTATAAACATTCAAATGCAGCAGTGTTATTTGTGTTTGTGCCAGTGAGCCAGAACTTTTCCATAAGCACCTTTGATTGCAAAAGATACGTCACCTCAAATCTCAAATCAGATCTCACTTAATATTTCATTAGCACTGTCACATCATCACATTCCTACCACTGGAGCGCAGAGAAGGACAGTCAGGGTCGGACTGTATGCTGCTGACCCTCGTGGTCAGCTGTGGAGAGCACTGTGCACAGCTGGATGTTTTCAGGCTGTGGTAGGTGACTGTGTAAATAGTAAAGACGTCAGGGTGTAGTTCTTTTTTTTGGGGGGCATTTTGATGAACTGACCGCATTAAAAGCAGCAGCAACATGTTCTCACTCACTGCCTTTTCTTTATGTTGTGACTCCACTGCCCACCAAACAACAGGCTTTGTGCTGTCTAACCTCCAGCTCACCCACAAGCACCTCGATTTCTGCGTCAGGAGCATTAGTTTTCTTGGTTTTCCTCTCCATTTACAGTAAAGTCCCACTGATCAGCCGGCTCATGTCTATGCATCAGCATTAATGAAGTGCTTTGCATTGACCAGTTATGGTCGAATGTGAGCATGTAGAGGGCAGGATATGATGCTGGTCCATATGGGGACAATTTCAATTTGATTTGGGTTTCATAAAAGTAAATTGCGTACAAGCAGGCTACACACTGTTTCATAAATCAGGATATTTTTTTGGATATGTACATTTCCTCATTTGTACTTGAGCAAACATTTAATGTGGATTCACCGAAGAGTTTTCTAAATGAGGTCACTGGCTTTAACCAAACTCTTTGACGACAGTGTGACAGTGTTGCTTTCATTTCTAAATCAAAAAGCTGCATCTGAGTGAAGGCTGAAACGCTCAGAGCTCTATTCTACACACATACAGCACAACTGAGCAGTGCAGAGAAAAGCTCTCTCTTCTCAGTGTTCATCATGTCTTTATATGTTTTTGTACCTTGGCAGTCTGGTAGATGCTGACAGCATTGTCCAGAGTCAGACTTTGTGACAGCTTCATCTCACAGCACCTCTGCAGACCTCTGAGTTGGAAGAAAGTAGCCACTGGCAGCAGCTACGGAAACAGTCACAACACAGTCTAAGAATAAGTCTTTAAACAGGAAATACTGCTTCATAGATTAAGACGACAAGAAAAACAGCCTCACTGTAATTACCCACTAAAAAACAAATCAAGATGTATCATTGGACAAACACAGATGCCACTGTATCTGTTGGAACCATGGCCATTCCTTCTTCTAAACTTTGATTTCTGGGTTTACTGTGAGCTCTATTAATAAAACAGACAAATAATGCATATACTTCCAGCATCCTTATAGCCTATGTCACATTAGGTAACACAGAAACTGGCAGTAACAAGCTAGAAAGGTGTTATGAACCTTAAAACATTTACAGAATTTTCTTCCCTTTGAAGCTTTTTCTTTGGTAAGTAACAGCCGTATACATCATACATCAGCAGACAGGATGATAAAGAATACTAACTCTAATAATATCTCTGATATTTTACAAAATGAATCGTTACTTCATGGGCAACATCAAACTTGCATTCTGACATAAAACCAGTTTACAAATCTGTTCACACAGATTTACACATCAAATCTTTTCTCTACCATGTGACCCACGAGAGGCTCCAAAATTACCACACGTCACTAACCACCACTGTGTACTTGTTGGTCTGATGATGGATGATGGTGATTTTCAATCATGTGATTTGGTCCAGAAGCACTGCTTTAGTTAGAAACAGGGAGCAGGCAAACTGTCTGACTCATTAAACTACACACAGAGTGAAATATCAGCCTTACACGGTCCTGTCCAAGGAAATGTCTCAGGTAGTAGAATGAAGACACATCACTGTGAAATTGATTAACTGATTATTAAAAAAAAATATCCAGGGAGATAGAACTGCAGCAAGTAACAGTTGAGTGGTTTTACCTTCATGGCCTCAGAGTGGGAGACTGTCAGTCCCTCTGTTCCTCCACAGTACAGAGACTTCATAGTCATCTGCAGAGAAAAACACAATCTTCAGTGTTAAACAGTTCTCCGTCACATTAACAGCAAAGGACAGATGGTCAGTTTGTGTCCTACCTGGAATGTGCTGTAGGTCATGTGACTGACATGGATGATATTGTCGGGGGAGTCGCAGAGCATCCGTCGAAACCTAACGGGGCAAAACACACATCAGAACATCAGAGTTTTATTAGAAGAATGAGAAAACTGGTGATGTTTAGAATTATGACCAATTTTCATTGTTTCTGCAGCAACTCATTGATCACTACATTGACCCCATTGTCTATAATGTGTATGGTATATAATGTGATGTTCAAATGCACTTATTTGTTATGTGAAGGTGTCAAAAATAAAAGTGGACAGAGGTGACATATTTTTGAGGGATCAATCCATTTCTGTGATGCAGCACCTTGCACACCATTACTATGAAATTTAGATGCATTTTGTACTCTCTTTGCCCAAAGTCAATACTCAACACAAGACCTTTTTTTTTTTTTTTTTTTTTTTACACGTGGATAAAACTTTTCCAAAATCAGTAATCTGCCTGTATTAGTCAATATAAGCAAAAATAAAGTTTGACTAGTAGAAAGTATTTGTCTCCCACTCCACACAAAAATGCTCTCCCACCCCAGGGTTCAAAACCCCCAATGCAGGTTTGAACCAGGAACCCTCTTGCTGTGAGGCCACATTGCTAATCAGTGAATCATCAGGCCACTCTTCTATGTGGTGTTCACATGTTCTTCCTATGTCAGGTTTTCTCTGGGTACACCAGCTTTCTCCCACAGTCCTAAGACATGCAGCCTAGGTTAACTAAGGTAAGGTATGGTAAGGTAAAACTTTAATATCCCAGAAGGGCAATATGAGATACAGGCAGTAATCATAACAAACAGACAGTACAATACATAGCACACACAATCCAGAATCACACACTGTCAGGGGTAAATCATGGACAATTAGTGGTCACCACTGGTTAAGATAAGTGATAGCAGACGGAACAAAGGACGCTCTGTAATGCTTAGTGCTACATTTAGGGAGTCAAAACCTCCAATCTGATGGAAGCATGTGACAGTCAACATTGAGGGGATGTTGAGAGTCTGAGACAATAGACCGAGCTTTAGAGGTGACCCTCTCTTCAAACAGATGCTGTAGGTTATTCAAAGAAACACCAGTGACCTTACAGCACAACTTGACCACTTTTTCCAACTTGTTTTGTTTTTAAGGCTCAGATTACCAAACCAACAGACCATGTTAAAAGAAAGAACAGACTCATTAAAAGCAGAATAGAACAATTCCACGATTATCCTATTCACATTGAAACTCTTCAGCTTTCTTAAATAGAATAATATGTTGGTTTGCCTTTTTACAGATGCTGTCAGTGTTCACATCAAAATTCAACTTGTAATCTAAGACAGTCCCCAAATACTTATACTGCTGCACTACTGCCACCGGCTCCCCCTTGATTACACAAGGAACAGGAAGGCAGGGCCTCCTTAGTAAATCAATAAACATCTCATTGGTCCAGACACATTAATGTGGAGGAAAGACTGTTTACATTAATTTACAAATTGATCCAGTACTGAGCCATGATCATATTATGATCCATGAAGAAGACTTACAATAACAGAGTCCTCTAGTGTATAAACAAAAGCGGAGAAAGAACACATCCCTGAGGGGATCCAATGGAAGAAAAACGGGTACCAGACAGTGTCCTGTTAACCTGGACCCTCTGAGTTTTTTATAAAGTCAGTGAGCCAACACACAATGCTTAATGCTACCGGGTGACTCTTAAATTGCCCGTAGGTATGAATGTGAGCGTGACTGGTTGTCTGTCTCCATTTGTCAGCCATCTGTAAGGGGTTGATAGCTTAGAAATGTAAGTGGACATGAACAGTAGTCGGTTTTAATCAATTAATAAGTCAGATCAGACCTTTCAGAAGCCGACATCAGCAGCACCCGGTGTGCGAAGAATGGACGCCCCTCCACCATAAACGTCACGTCTGACATCTCCTGATTGTTCAGGAAATGAATATCTGAGGACAGAGACAACCGTGTCACCCTTCAAGTGTTGGTTAAATTTAGAATGGACATGTTGTCATACTGACAGCAGTGATGCATCACCTAGCTGTGTGGACAGAGTGACATCCATGGGTAGGATGGGAGGAACGGGAGAGCAGCTGTAGCAGTGAGAGAACACAGATGCCAGCCGCTTGGTTATCACGTAGTCCTGTAGAGGAAAAACAACATGAAATGCAGACTGGTAGAATGTCATGTTACGTAGATACCAGCGTAGGCACTGAAACACTTGACCAACAGCAGCCCGAAAATCAGACTGAATTGTCTTTTTTTTTCACGTCATTATTCAGTCCGAGGTCCTGTTCATGTCAGCTGTTTTCTGTTTGGAGGGGAGATTATTTTGCTCGAACCAATTAGAAGTGATCTGCAATCTATGGCCATTTTCCTGTTGCTATTTTTTGTGCCGCTAGCTGTTTTTTTCTGCTTTCAGTCTCTTTGTTAAGTTAGGCTAAACGCTCCATTTTTTAACTCTCAGTAAGATAGCAAATAAGCTAATTTCCCAAAATGCATTTCCTTAAATGACTAAAAGGAGTCATTTGAGTCTCCTCTGCTGCAGCATGGCACTGAAGGTTTATGCCAGTATTGAAAGTTAAATGGGGATCCTCTATGCATGACATGGACATTTGCACACTTCATTATTTTAACTGAAATAAAGCTATTACAGTATGTTGTTTGTATCTAAAAGATAAGTATACAACATTCAGAGCATATATGATTGAGAGTCTGAGCCGAGATTGTCTGCACATGGTTCTCAACATGGAGATAGCTGAGCTGTCATCTAGGAATTATATATTTTGGGCGGGGCAACACAGTGGTTTGAGTTCAAGGTGTGAGAAAGAATAGTATAAGTAACATTGTTAACACTGTGCTACATTACAGAGAAATACAAAGCTGTACTAGTGATCATTCATTAATATAGACCTATATTTTAACTACAAGTGCACGTCACACACTGAGCGAGCAGCCTGTTAATGACACTGTTGGCAAAGCAGTAATGATTGTGCTCAGTGGGTAATGGGCATGTAGCTAACTGATACGTCATGTTTGTAGTCAACGAATAATAGGCAAATGCCCGCAGAGTTTACATATCACCTTAGGTTCATCCTTCACCTTCTCAAAATGTTCCCACACTTTGGATTTCCTGTCCGATGTGTTATTAACTAGCCTGTGGAATGACCACAGCTACCAGCCCTGTAAATTAGGGGCCGTACACATGCCCTGTCTTCAACTGCTGGACAACGCAAGGTCGGGCGCTGGTTGCTCCCTCTGTGCCGTTTTTGTGCCAGCTTTCAAGAGCGTAGCAGCAGGTTGCGCCTGAGGTTGCTAAGCAACCTTATCAAGCTTCGTATAGCCTGTTTACCTGAAGTGCCTGATGAAATCTCAATATTTTGAAATCTCCCCTGAACCAGTGTAGACCACTGATATACTAAACTACTGAATAAACTACCGTTACAATAAAGTTACATTACCTCCATGAAGTCTTAAGTGAAGCTCAGATAAGACTTTGCCATGGGCATGCGATAAGAACCTCAATCGAGCTGAGGTTGTTGAACACTGATAAAAATCCTGGTTTTATGTTGTCTAAAAAATTGAGGTGTTCAGATTCTTACTGTTCATTACACTAACACATACCCATGTAAGTTAGGCAGAAAACCTCCTGCTGCAGCTTTTCAAAATTACTGATGAAAACAGTTATCCATGTCAGTCACAAGCTGAGAAAAATGAGATACATCAGCAGCACAGCATAAACTGACACAGAGAGGCGTTCAGCTGTACCTTGTTGGTTTCTAGCATGCTGAACATGAGCGGTATGCCTGTGGAGGGGAGCTCAGGGCTGTAGTCCTCCGTCCTGATGCAGGGGAACTCTGTGAGGAGGGAGACAATGACTTTGTCCCTGCACAGCTGCTGGGCTCTGTGGAGAGACTCAAGCCAGATGTGGAGCCTCCAGGGAACACCTGGACACAGCAGGGAGGTGGAACAAACAATAGGTTCCAGGTCTTACAGTATGAATGCAATTTAAAACTGAGGCAGAAACAAGCTGGGCAGCTAAACAACTGACTGTTTTTTTCTTCTGTGTAAGAAAACTGGCTGATTTAACATCCATTGGTGAACAGTGACATACGGAACAATACTGCTCTTCAGAGGCACACAGCAGCAGCAGCTCTTACACCTTTATACACTGAATATAACAAGCTGTGAGCAGGTGATTGATGTTTTGTGTTTTAAAATTTAAATGTCACATCTTGTTTCTTTGTGAATTTTTTTAGAGCAATTTTCCGTATGAAGCAGTGTTCCAATTTTGATAATGTAAAAAAATAAATAAATAAATAATTAAATGTGACAACAAGTCAGTTTCTGGTACCTTCAAAGTCACTGGCCTTTCTGGTATCAAGGTTTTAATTAAGGGTAACTGCTGCTCTTAAATCCATATAGAAATTGAGCATAGTGTTAGTTCAGGCAGGACACGATGTCAAGCTCAGCTCACATCCCAGCTACATCAGCTGATCTGAAAGAACCCAATCAACTGATGGAGCAGCTGATTGAGGGAAGGGAGTCAGCTAATAGGTCACATGATTCCTCTCCGCGCAACCAATTGGCAAATCTCATTCAGTGCACCCTATTTAACCTGCTCTGGCCTGCCTATAGTTGCTGCCACTTTGCATCCCGCCTCCACCCCAGCTCCTCCTCTTCATGTTATGTCTGACTTGTCATTCTCATTCCTGTTTGTCATTGATGCTGCTCTGTTCTGTTACCCCAAAGGGATTTGGTGCTGCTCTCTTTGGCTTAGGCTTTCCATGTAGAAGCATGGAAGGGCAGGGAGTTTTGCTCTCTCTGCCGCAGGCTTTCCTTGTATGCACATGGAAGGGCAGAGAGGTGTGCTCTCTCTGCCTTAGACTTTCCATGTAGGTGTGTGGAAGGGCAGAGAGATGTGCTCTCTCCACCTTAAGCATTCCACATAGGCTCTTGGAAGGGCAGAGAGGTGTGCTCTCTCCACCTAAGGCATTTCACATAGGTGCATGGAGGGGCAGAGAGGTGTGCTCTCCCAGCCTTGGGCATTCCACGTAGGTGCACGGAAGGACAGTGAGGTGTATTCTCTCCACCTTAGGCATTTCACATAGGCGTGTGGAAGGGCAGAGAGGTGAGCCATACCGCCACATATAATACTGTAATGGAAATAAAGTTTTCTTTGACAAAAGTGGTCCTAACTAAAATGTTGTCGGGACATGAGATAGACTTCAAAGTTTTCTCATCATCATGAGCTCACCCATCTCTCTTAGCTCCATGGTCACATCCAGGTAACCGTGCTCAGCACTGTAGTAGGCTGCCTGCTGCAGGGCTTTCATCCTGGCCTTACACAGCCTGGGGATAGGGCTCAGAGAGTCAGGAGCTGGAGCTTTTGCATCCTGTTGCTCCTCCTGCTCTTCCTGCACTCCCTCAGCCAGGATCTCCTCCAGAGAGAGGATGTCTTCCTTCCTGTGCTGGGGCTGTTGCAGCAGCCTCCTTAGGATGTTCCTGCAGATGGAAGTGATGCTTTGTTTGTGTTTTGTTTCATGCATATTAAATCAAAAACTCTCGCCTAATTGTGTTGCCATTTCCCAGGGAATAAAATCCTAGATTTTAAGCATGTGGATACCTGTGTGTTTATGACAGTTCAGCTGTGTGGCAACATATAATTTTGAACATTTATTATCCAACCATTTATAGAAATAAACAGCTAGATAAATGTCTCACCTGTGTCCGTGTGCTGCAGCATAGCTGAAGCAGTTCATGTCCTCATACAATGGTGATGTCAGGGAATTCCCATGATGCACTCTGAGCAGAGGGTCTGCTCCATGGGTGAGGAGCAAGCTCACCATCTCATAGTAACCTAGGAAGATGAAATATTTTGTTTTTGATTTATTCAAGACAGAAAAGCATCATCTGCACCTGAACATGCACCTGCACTGACCTGTGCTTGTTTACTGATGCAAATATTGTCTTGAATGTACAGTACAGGCCAAAAGTTTGGACACACCTTCTCATTCAATGCGTTTTCTTTATTTTCATGACTATTTACATTGTAGATTCTCACTGAAGGCATCAAAACTATGAATGAACACATGTGGAGTTATGTACTTAACAAAAAAAGGTGAAATAACTGAAAACATGTTTTATATTCTAGTTTCTTCAAAATAGCCACCCTTTGCTCTGATTACTGCTTTGCACACTCTTGGCATTCTCTCCATGAGCTTCAAGAGGTAGTCACCTGAAATGGTTTCCACTTCACAGGTGTGCCTTATCAGGGTTAATTAGTGGAATTTCTTGCTTTATCAATGGGGTTGGGACCATCAGTTGTGTTGTGCAGAAGTCAGGTTAATACACAGCCGACAGCCCTATTGGACAACTGTTAAAATTCATATTATGGCAAGAACCAATCAGCTAACTAAAGAAAAACGAGTGGCCATCATTACTTTAAGAAATGAAGGTCAGTCAGTCCGGAAAATTGCAAAAACTTTAAATGTGTCCCCAAGTGGAGTCGCAAAAACCATCAAGCGCTACAACGAAACTGGCACACATGAGGACCGACCCAGGAAAGGAAGACCAAGAGTTACCTCTGCTTCTGAGGATAAGTTCATCTGAGTCACCAGCCTCAGAAATCGCAAGTTAACAGCAGCTCAGATCAGAGACCAGATGAATGCCACACAGAGTTCTAGCAGCAGACCCATCTCTAGAACAACTGTTAAGAGGAGACTGCGCCAATCAGGCCTTCATGGTCAAATAGCTGCTAGGAAACCACTGCTAAGGAGAGGCAACAAGCAGAAGAGATTTGTTTGGGCCAAGAAACACTAGGAATGGACATTAGACCAGTGGAAATCTGTGCTTTGGTCTGATGAGTCCAAATTTGAGATCTTTGGTTCCAACCGCCGTGTCTTTGTGAGACGCAGAAAAGGTGAACGGATGGATTCCACATGCCTGGTTCCCACTGTGAAGCATGGAGGAGGAGGTGTGATGGTGTGGGGGTGTTTTGCTGGTGACACTGTTGGGGATTTATTCAAAATTGAAGGCACACTGAACCAGCATGGCTACCACAGCATCCTGCAGCGACATGCCATCCCATCCGGTTTGCGTTTAGTTGGACGATCATTTATTTTTCAACAGGACAATGACCCCAAACACACCTCCAGGCTGTGTAAGGGCTATTTGACCAAGAAGGAGAGTGATGGAGTGCTGCGGTAGATGACCTGGCCTCCACAGTCACCGGACCTGAACCCAATCGAGATGGTTTGGGGTGAGCTGGACCGCAGAGTGAAGGCAAAGGGGCCAACAAGTGCTAAACACCTCTGGGAACTCCTTCAAGACTGTTGGAAACCATTTCAGCCGACTACCTCTTGAAGCTCATGGAGAGAATGCCAAGAGTGTGCAAAGCAGTAATCAGAGCAAAGGGTGGCTATTTTGAAGAAACTAGAATATAAAACATGTTTTCAGTTATTTCACCTTTTTTTGTTAAGTACATAACTCCACATGTGTTCATTCATAGTTTTGATGCCTTCAGTGAGAATCTACAATGTAAATAGTCATGAAAATAAAGAAAACGCATTGAATGAGAAGGTGTGTCCAAACTTTTGGCCTGTACTGTACATATAATATTTAATGATAAAACAAATCAAAATGTAGGCCAGTAATCACCAGTAACCACCCTAGTCTTTATGAAGCTTTGCCAAAAAAAAGTGGGTTGTCAACATAAAATTAAAATCGAACTGGAGACCATGCAGCCACCTTGTACTGTAAAGCATTTCAGTTCTTTAAAAAACTAATCTAAGGGCTCCTTATCTAAAAGTTTATCATAAAAAATAAGCTGTATAATTGTTATCAACATTTCTAAGCTCTAAAATATCAGCACTGGCCTATCAGACAGCAATAATTGAGTTTATTTTACATAGACAACAAGAATGAATGCCGACATAGATGTAGGCATTTAATATTCTTTATAGTTTGGTTATACTGCAGTGCAGTTCACTACTGTTCTGTCTACGTATTGTGCAAGTCTTTCAATTTATTTTCAAGGACTTGATCTGGGCACACACACTGAGGTCTTCACTAATGACACACCTGCAGCAGCAGCTAGCTGTAGCGGTGTCTCAGCTGAGCTCTCCTGACCATCCAGCAGGGCTCCTCCCTCCACATCAGCTCCGGCCTCCAACAGCAGCTGTGAGCAGGATCACACCACACTGTTAGAGCATTTACACTGACCTGCTTCCTTCAAGCTGGTAATATGTTTTTAAGAGGAACATCATACCCTTTCTGCTGCAAAGAATCAAGACTGTTTCTCTGCTGTGACCACACTATAGTGATGTCACAGTATATAGACACACCCTGGAGTAACCTTCTACATCACTGCAGCAAGCAGAAAAGATAACTCTCATCATTCCTGTAAAACTCACCTAACTTTACCTAAAGCACCTAACCAAGGCATACCCCACGTAAACTGAAAGCTGTTCTTGTTCCATTTCTTATACATGTACACTCACTGAATTTTTTCTCAAACAGTCAGAATCACTGTAAGTGCTTCTGTCACTGAGTTACAGAAGTTTCAACACACTGAAAAAGTTTTTTTTCTCTTTATTTTGCCTGAATATTTTTTTCAGAAAAAGATGCTGCAGATATTTAGAACTGGGGCCTTTTAGCTAGAAAGCACAATGGGACCGTATCATGAAGCCTTACATAGTCCAAATGCATAGCAGACAACAATTTCACAGAAATTAACATTTTACACATGTTTTTCTAAGGTTTTGTCCAGGTGCTTCCTGGAAACCTAAATTGATAGGAAAGCTTACGAACAATAGGTTGTGTAAGAAACCCACTTTAATACAGCAAACACAGCAGTTGTTTAAATATCATAATTATCAAGTAAAACCTTAGGGGGATCCACAGGAGGTTGGGATGTTTGATTGTTAATGGGGAGGGGAAATTGATTCTTACATGCATTGCGATTCTCTCATGATTATCATGTCTGGAATCAAAAAAAGTCTATAATGGGAAATTTACAACCCAATTCTCGACATAATGATCACCTGTAACAATTCTGTAAGACCTGACTGTACGTTCTTTACAGCTGAGACAACTGCATGGTAAATCATAACTGACTTAAAAGTGTTTACATTCTAAGCTGAATTTCTACTTAGGTTTTGGCAAGGATGGCTGAGCGTGAGCAACCATAGATGGATACAATATGACCAGCATCAAAGCTGGCGTATGGAAGCATTTTGGCTTCTGTGAAATTAAAGGGACAAGATCCTCACTGTATGCAAGTAAATTCAGCTGTTTATTTCAATTATGGATCATTACAAACACACCAAGGAAAGTAGCAAGTGGTCATACAGTAAGAAAAACAACGTATAGAAATCAAGATGCATCAATAATTGTTTTATAATTGCGTTGCAGCCAGCAGAATTGGAATACATTATCATATTCAGTTAGGAGTCCTCACCTGGGCCACAGACAGGTGACTGTGCAGCACAGCGAACGTCAAAGCCACCCAGCGCCGACTGCCAGGAGGAACCGATGGGTGTCTGGAAGAGGAGCCTGGGACCTGACCAAAACACACACACACACAGACACACCCCAGTCACCTCAGTCACAGAGACATTAACCAGCTGTGATGCGGACAGAGCTATAGCTGAGCCAACAGCTGTGTTGTTACCTGCAGGTCCAGGTTGGCTCCAGCCTCTATGAGCATCTGCACCAGAGCTTCATCTCCTGCTGCTGAGGCGTACATCAGAGGAGTCATTCCCTGCATGAAAACACACACACACACACACACACACACACACACACACACACACACAGAGGGATGTTTTTTATAAGGCTACACAGATAATTGTATATCATACATTTATGTTTCATCAATACATTCGTGTGAAATTATACAAAAGTGTTTCCTCTCAGCGTTGAGTCCAGGTGTGGGGTATTAAACAGTTGCACTCTGCCTACCAATCACAACCTTAGATGGTGGTGGATTAGCAGAAGATAACTGTGACCTTAAAAAACATGGTGCCTCCCTTACAACAAACATTTGACCAACGATCCTGCACCTCACAGCTCCTCATTGGCAGCTTTAAAGTAATAAATTTGTTACTTTAGTTTTATCAGTTTAAATGTAATAGACAGTTAGAGTGACAAGAGGGTACAAATGTTTGATAAAATGTGAACCAAGGAATAATCCATACTATAACTAATCACAATAACTGTCTTAAATAGTCTGAATCACAACATTATCACTTGTGCAGAACCTGCTACTTGTATTGCATGCTGCTATTTTACCTGAGTGACACATTTACATTGTGAGCAGTCACTCCCTTACCTGGTCGTCCATGGTGTTAAGCCCCTCATCTCCCAGGAGCTGTGTGGCCTGATGGATCAAATCTGCTCGGCCACATGAGAGCATCCTGAAGCCCAAATCCAGCTGGAACTTGGCTGAAGCAGCTTCTGCATCCAAACATTTAAATGACTGGAAACAGCACTCCGACCTGCAGAGACACAGAGACAGAAACATTCATCTGGTTCCGGATTCAGGAGGCTGCTCCTTCCCTGTTTGAATCAGACCCATCAGTCTATTAATAATCTAATCGGCGTAACAGGATTTGCCAAATTCATAAAATAATTTACCTCATCATTTACCACAGCCTCTCTAGGGTCACGCCACACAGGCAATAATTAGTGTCTTCAAACATGCAGGTGCGTGCTCACTGGCTTCTTACTTTAGCTGTCTGGGCTCACAGTCCAGTCCTGGGAGGAGCTGCCTGGCTGTCTGTCTGACATCATCGCTGTCCACCAATAGGCTGCGGCGATGTTCAGCATGCACCACAGCGACTCTGATCCACTCCATGAGAGGAGGGAGGAGCAGGAATGGCCTGGAGGAGGATTAAGATGCTGTCTGTGTACATGTGGCTATTTTCAACAATTGTGCAACAAATGACAAAACAAATGACATCACAGTGAAGAAGACTGGCGGCCTGCTTTAGCCATTTTCACATTAGTTGTTCAATAAATACTAAAAATAAGATTTCAGTGGAAAAAGCAAACAAAGGCTGGAACTAGCTTACGGTCTGCTGTTGTTACAGTAATTTAGGTACAAGCTCAGAATGATGAAGATGAAGTGATTTATTAATGTGGAACACACACACACACACACACCTCTCTCTGCTCAGTGTCATGGTCGGCGGCTCTAGGTTGGGATTTTCCAGTGACTCCATCTGTGGGCTGGACAGGAAGTAGTAGAGTGTACGGAGGGCGTCTGCAGCCCAGGATACTGAGAGCTGAGTGGCTAAGCGAGTGGGGCTGACGGAAGGGCTCGAGCTGCGCAGACGCTGCATGTGGTGCATCGCTCGAGACACAAGATCACCTGCAGGAAGACAGCGGACATTATGTTCATATGTTCATCAGATCATATTCAGATAGTAATATAAGAAGCAATTTAAGACTTTATTTACTTTACTTTACTTTGTGATTACAGCAATAAGGTAAAAAAAGAAAATAACTACTCGATATGCAATGCTCAACAAAATGAAGGAAACACAAATCATACATCAGATCTTGATGAACGAATTATTCAAGTTGAAAATCTTTACTGATGTACATTATATAAGTAAGGAAGTAATATTTTTCAACAGGTTGTCCATGTTTATACAGCATGAAACAACATGGTAAGAACAGATGGGGCCAAGTGCCTGAGATGCACTTTTAGTAGTACATCTTTGGAACAATGCAGTTTCACCACCATGCAGACCCACATCAATAACATCACAATTAAATAGCCTAGTGTAAGCACAGTCAGATTTTCTTGGCACTGCAGTGATTTTAAGTCCTTATGAAAATTCCTTCACATCTTTCTTTGACCTCATGACGTTTCCCACTGAGGTCAAGGAAAAGAGGTTAGGAAAAGACACAGGAAGTAATTTTTGGCTATTAGACCAAAAGCTCAGAGGGTCACTGAAAAAACCCCAAATTCATCCTCTGGAGTTTGTGAGCATCCACTGCAAATTTCATTGTCACCCTACAAGCTTTGAAAAAAATGGATTAAATAGCATTGTCATCTTTACACACCACCACTAGTGTGGCAAAAAGGATAAAAAAAAAAATCGCAACACAATGTCAAGTAAACAGTTGTGGGGGTGTGGATTAAACATTATGGAGACTATGGGTTGGAAATGTATGACTACAAAACACATGAATTAATAAAATGTTGTAACAAAAACACACAACTAGCTACTTTTATAAAGATTACTAAATTAGGATTATGTGCAATAAATAAGCCTGTAAAAACAGTATGTTGTAGAATACAGACCAGAATTACCAACACAGGAACTTATTTAAAAATATGATCAATTTATAGTGTTGTCCAAAAAAATTTAAATTTTCCAGGAAAACAAAAAGTGTGAAAATGTATTGCTGACCTTTTCTGTTAAGGTTTCTTTTTGTTTTACAGCTCTGTGTTGAAAGAGCTACCCAACACTGTTTGCATTCACATTTGTGATTTAATAAAATATACACCAGCCTTCCAGTGATTCTGTTGGTTTTAAAGCGGATTATTAATTCATTGCTCCTATCCCAACACTTGACCCTGTAATCGGTCAACTGAAGACATAAAAACAAATCTCTTTTCACCAAACAGCAAAAATATTTGAAATGTAACTATGAGGAAGAAAAGTGAAAACGAAAGGAACAATATGACTTAAATATACAATGAAAAACACACAACATGGTGTGCTTAAGTGCTGCATGGTCACATGAATATGTCATCAGAACGTCCATAAACTGCTGTGAACAGTGAAAGTACAGAGCTCTTTTATTTTCCCTATAGCATTCAGATAATGAGGTACGGTGGCCTGCAGGGTGTGAAGGTGCCCTTGTTTTCTGGATACAAGCCACAGGTTGTTATGTAACCGAGGGGGAGGTGACACCGTCTTACGATCTGTCCCAGGAGCCCGACGCCGGTCACAGTTTAAACAAACACAGAAAACACAGAAGCTGACTGTGGCGGCACACACACACACACACACACACACACACACACACACACTTACTGAGCTCTGCGATGCTGCCCACACAGGTGGCAAGTAGAGCCTGCTCCAGCGTTCGCAGTTCCAGCTGGAAGTAGGCGTCCTCTCTGCTCTCCACTGAATCTGCAGGAACCTTTGTGTACGGGCTGACATGGGCTGGCAGCGTCAGCTCACCTTAACACACACAAATATACACACAAATTAATATTAATGGTCAATATTTACAAATAATCTTTATTGACTCTCCATCTCAGTTAATCTAGCTGTTAGCTGTGTTGGTGGCGTCGCTGTCTGGATGGAAATGTGGGTCAGTCGGTCACTCCACCACTGCGGTCCAAACTGAAATGTCTCATCTTAAATTCATCAACATGAAAGTTTGTACAGACATTTATGTTGCCCAGAGGATGAGGCCATCTGACTTTGGCAATCCTCTGACTTTTCCCCTCGCGCCACCATGATGTTGACATTTGTGATTTTAAGTAAAATCAAACCAGTTGGCTGAGAAAGGTTTGTAGCTCCCTCATGGAGTATAGCTACTATAGTCGGTAGGGGTGTACCATATCATAATATCAGTTTAAATATGATATGAAAAATTCATATCGTGATACTTGCAATATTTTGACTTGTTGACATATTGACGTCATACTGTGTGCATGGTTGAAAATGAAATTATTACCGACTTCAGTAGTGTGGAATAAACTGTGGCGTCCTGAATGTTTTATGAACAGCCCCGGACTTCTCAGACTCTTTTAACAACTTACCGCTCAGAGGGAACTCATTCAGCAGCTCCTCTGGCAGCAGCACAGCTTCTCTCCCTCTCTCTCCTCTCTCACTGTGCACACTGGAGTCGGTGCTGTCAAGTGATTTTGTCATAAACCTTCGGTAACGTAAATCTACGTGACACTCACAACTTGACAAAAAAACTACATATATGTGAATGTGCGATAGTTATGGTAGCAGCCTGTCACAGGTTACAGCGTGATGATTAGAGGAGAAATGGCAGAGCATAAAGGTCCAGGTGGAAAAACCCCCAACTCAGTCATTTAGGATTTTACTAAGTAAATCACCTGTTGATTTATACATATAGATCCCAGGGTATATATCTATTTGCATTTGTGAGCTGTTTAAATGTGTAATTTGTGGTAGATTTTATTTTGTTGAACTGTTGATATTGTATACAGAATCTGAATCTGAACCATTTATTTTGTTGCAATTTAATATTCTTAAAGTAATAATAATTTTTTTTTTTCACTAATTTGTCATATGGTCAAGAATATAATTATCACAAAGACAGCCTGAAATTTCGTGATATTATTTTAGGGCCATAAAGCCCGTCCCTAGTAGTTAGCCAATCAAGACCCAGTTTCTTGGCAAAATAAATAAATAAATAAAATCCAAAGAAATCCTTTAAACCACTCCTGCAGTGTTAACAGTGTCTCTACTTGCCACCCTAATGTTTCAAATGTTTATTCCTGACACCAAAATTTGCTAAAACGTGGCTAAATACACAGCTATTCTTTGTCATTAGTGCAGATAGCTCGCTGTTCGCATTTGGCAATCAATCAATCAATCAATCAATCAATCAATCAATCCATTTGTCACATGAAATCTTATGAGGTACAATCCATTTAAATTTAATCCTGTGAGTTCCTTCAATTTGCGCATTGAGAGAGTGTAATAATAAATATATGCGTAAGTAGCTAACTGGACTCCAGTGTTTGATACATAAAACATCCAAAGGTTTTCAGAGGGGAATTCCATTATAGGACCATAACAAAAAAATTTACAATCAAAGCTTTATTATACTGAATACCTACAGTGGATACTTCCTTACACAACAAACCACAACACCAAAACTTTATCCATGTTCTTAGCATTATAAACCACAGAGTCCGCTGTGTGTGATGTATAGCACACCCTCAAAACTACACACACACACACACACACACACACACACACAAAAGATCCCCGTCCATTATGTCCTGTTGGGTATTTGCTGACTCCTGATCTCCACACAATGGAAACAGCATCAGGGGGGACAACCTGCCAGAAACTGAAGCTTCCTGCAGCTGATACACATCCAGCTGTATTGAGTCACACTCAATCAGTCAGAATAATTATATGAGGAGAAACACTATCATCATCATAATCGTCGTCATCATCATCATCATCCAGAATTGAATTTAAAATCCTACTGTTAACTTACAAAGCTTTAAATGGTCAGGCTCCGTCATATCTTAGAGAGCTCATAGTGCCATATTATCCCACCAGAACACTGCGCTCTGAGAATGCAGGGTTACTCATGGTCCCTAAAGTTATTACGTCAACATCTCAAAACCTACAATAA